CAGGAAACTTAGCGTTCGTATTTACCTCGATACTTTGAAACTTTCCTAAAATACCGGGGTAAATACGAACGCCGCACTGTATTTCAGAGAAATCTTAGGGAAAATAAATTTAAAGTATTGCAATTGTTAAACTTATATAAAAACTCAAAAAAAAAATTACGATAATAAACCTATTATGTAATAATGCATCATATATAAATACAAAAATCAAACAGGTTGAAAATTAAAATGCATTACACAATTAAAACCTTTAATAACTTTATCAAATCATAACACTCCTTCGAGAGAACAGAGATTAAGTTTCTGCTTATTAATTACTAACGATGATACATATAGAAAGAAAAATTTTTTTCTATGTACTTATTTTTTTAAATTTTAATTAAGCTGAAATAATTAGCGTTCGGATTTACCCCGTCTGACCCTACCCAAAATCATTGCAGGTCACATGAATAAATTCGTCGAGAGATAAAGAGGGGGGGGGGAGAGATGATTTTATTTATTTTATTTGGGCATAAAATTCATTTATTACAAAACTAATTTTTCCATCCGGAGAAAAATAGAAAAATTAATAAAATAATTTTAGTATTTTACAAACTAGAACCTAGACTGTCTGCAGTTACTAACAATTTTTTACTCCAGAATTAGTAAAATTTACTACTGAAATAGTAAAAATTATTCCGGAAATAGTAAATTTTACTATTTCTAAAGTAAAAATTGTCAAAAATGCGCAGAAACTGCGAACAGTTCATTTTTTACATTAAAAGTATAGTAAAAGTTACTTTATTTGTTTTTCCATTTTTCTCCGGGCAGTAAAATTAATTTGGCATAAAATTTACGTCAAAAATAAAATTTATAACAACTAAATTTTATGCCTATTGGAATTTGTACCAAAAATAAAATTTATGACAACTAAATATTATGCCAAAAGTAATTTATATAAACAATAAGATTTATGGCAACGAAAATTTATATTAAAAGTCAAAATTTATGCCAAATTTAATTTATAACAAAACTGAAATTTCTGTAAAAAATGAGAAACTTAAAGAAATTCTAATTCTAATTCTAATTCTATATTTTATGCCAAAAAAAAATGTCAAAAATTAGATTTATGTCAACTAAATTTTAGGCTAAATTAAATTTATGTCAAAACTGATAAATTTATACCTCTTTCTCTCTTACATTCTCGAGATCGTGAATATCAATAGTCCGCGCATAATTTCTGCAGAGACAATGAATTTCTCGAAATTGAATATAAAGTCTCTATCGTTTCTATATATATATATATAGATTAAAAATTTATAGAAAAAGTCCAAGGAATGATTAAACAATATTTTAAAGTCTATTGCGAATAAAATTCTCATTAAATTTTGCATAATAAACACCGTTTTCTATTCATTGAAAATGTAATTATTTATCGGTGAATTTAGAATGAACGCGTAAAATATACTATATATATATATATATATATATATATATATATATATATATATATATATATAAGGTATAACATTAATGAAATTATTGTTGGAAATTTAATTTCATAATTTCGCGAATGGAAATTTTTTTTCTTTTAATTATATACAAGACTTCGTTATATTAACGATTTTATGTCACTTATCATTATATAACCTGTTTATGGATTTTACGACAAAACGAATATATTACATGAAAATCCATATATATACATATAGGGTTGATTTTTATTTTAACTAAATGATTTTAATTAGGTATTGAATGACTTGTTTTTTTATCTATTATAATTTTTATTTATAATTCTCTTTTTATTTTTAGTGAAACATTTGATGAATAATAACAAAAACATAGAAAAAAATAAAAAAAAAAGTTCCGATCTAAGGGTCTGACTATATTTACTATAATGTGACGCTTCGCGACAAAAGGTATACCTATCTAAAAAATGTAAGGTTATGTTTTTGATTTTGAAAATGAAAATATACAAAGAGGATCAACAATTATTGTTTATGTCTTTATTATATTCAAAATATTCAATAAAATCTATTTTTAATTTTATCTAATTAAAGAAGAACTTGTTGTTATGATGTAAAACTATTTTTAACATAACCTAAGATTTTTGGGAGCTTAGGTACCTTTTGTCGTTGGAGCATCACATATGTTTTTAGGGTCGCTGAATCCGAATTCAAACCCCGTTTAACCCCATAACTTCTGGATTTTGACATAACCTCAAAAAAACACTTTTTTTTAAAGTTATGACAGAATCATAAAGTAATGAATTTAAAAGGGCTTCGAATTCGGATGCCCCAAAAATATATAGTAATAGTCAAACATCCAAATCCGAATTTAAAAAATTTTTTATGTTGTTTAGTATTATTATATTATTATTATAATTATACCTGCCAGTATACAAAAAAAGAACAAAAAAAAATTATTACTAAAAAGATATTTTGCCAAAAAGAAGGTTATGTACGCTTTTACAAAATAATGTAAAAAATTCAACTTTTAAGGGTACAATGTAGTTGATGAAAAAAAAGACGGAATTTTTTTGTTTTTCCGGATGAATACCGATATATATATATATATATATATATATATATATATATATATATATATATATATATGATTAGGGAAATTTATGATGAAAGATAAAGGGCATTGTCTAGCATATAACTGGGGCGCGTGTTAAGAGACAGATTGATAGACAGATAGATAGACGGGAATCGATTTTGCAATCAAGCCGACCAATCGTTTCCGTGGTATGTATATATAAGCTGCAAAGTCTAACCTAACCTAATCCATCGAATTACCAACATTCTCGTTTGACAGACCGTTATACGCGAGAGAGGAATCGAGAGAGAACCAATGAAGGAAATGGAGAGAAAGATAAGATATTCTCGAGTCTTTGAAATCGTTTTACTGCGTGCGCGAATAGTTGAGAGAGAAAGAGAGGATTGTATAGTGATTCAAAGACAGACAGAGAGAGAGAGAGAGAGAGAGAGAGAGAGAGAGAGAGCACGAAGATGAGAGAAAACGAAAGATAAAGTAAAAGTCTCGTAACTCAATCTTCACAGTAGTTACTATGATCCGATCGTCTAGAAAAAGTGATAAAAAATGAAAATTGCCAACTCTACTTTTTGAGCCTTAAGAAACATTTCAAATTTTTTCTTTGTTTCAATTACCAATTGTAATTTTACGCAGATATTTACTTTACCGACACATATATTTAAATCTAATAATTTTCTCGTTCAATTTGTTCACAATATTAATAAAAATAATTCATATAAAACGACACAATTATTATAAATCTTGAATTATTGATTAACGAATCGCTTTGCAATGCCACGCACAACGTGCGTTTGACGCAAGCTCAAAGCGCCATCTACAACATTCTTAAAAATTCATACCGCGGGAAAATTCAAATCATAATGAGCTCAATCAATTTAATAAACCGCTCTTTTGACACAAATTAAAAAGTTTAAATAAAAATTTCGTTCGTAACATAACCTCAAATTAAAAAATAATTTTTTTTTCCAAATTTAAAATTTATTACACCAAATTTTTGAAAGCCTGCGGGAATTATGTTAGGATAAAATTTATTTTACATTTCAGTATAAAAGTGAAATAAATAGGCGCATAAACGATAAATCATTACAAAATGTTTAGCTGACGAAAACAATTTTGTTTGTCGAGTTTTTTTTTTTTTAGCGAGGAAGGAAATAGAAAAAAAAAAGAGAGTGAAAACTGGTATCGTTAAGGCTTTGAAAGCATGTGCCATTCATTATCTCGTGTATATCGATAATGTTGTTCTCTCTCTCTCTCTCTTTTTCTATGAGTATAGTGCACTCGACCATTGTCCTGAATATCGATAGCCTTTTCTTGTCACTGAACCAAAGAGTAAACTGAGTATCTGGTATATACACTATATGCATGTAGATATTGTGTTCTACGTATGCGCCTCGGTAAATTCCTATAGGAATAAAAGTGACAATTTTCAGATGGTGCATATAAGAATCGGATTTTTTTTTCTCGTATTTCTTTATTCTATCTCGCGCCATATGAAAATTGAATAATTCTGTAAAATATAATAAATAAAATAATATTCTGACATAAAAGGACTTAATGTTTCTTTTCTTTTGGTAAATATTTTAAAATATTTTTTGTCATACAAAAGGGCCATTAAAATATTTAAATCAGAAAAAGAAATATAAGTATTGTAATACATTTATTTTTAAAAGAATTTCTAAAAGGACAAGCGGTCGTACAAAAGGTAAATTGGCTTCCGCAAAGTTTTTCAACGGTGAAATTGGTCTATTCTTATTTTTACCCTAATTAAACTCATAAGCTATATTATGCTATCCTTCCGGCAGTTTATATTATATTCAAGGAAAAACAAAAGCAAACTTTTATTTGTATAAGATTTAACAACAATTTTTTAATTTGCGCTAAAATTTCACATATATACTCTCTAAATCTGAATTAGTAAAAATATTGACTAATTTAAATTAGTGACTCATTTTTTGCTTTAGAATTAGTTAAATTTTACTAATTGTTTAGAAAAGTTACTAATAATTACTAAAATTTTACTAATTTAGAAGCAAAAAATTGAGTCACTAATTTAAATTAGTAAACTTTTTTATTAATTCAGATTTAAAGAGTATAGTAATTATAATTTTATTGAACAATTATTCTAGTTTTGAGGTTATGTCGATGGAACCTCCTTGATTAAAAGAGGGTAATTTGATTCTTAGCGTTATATAGAAAAAAAATTCGTTTATAGAAGAAACTTCCTACTCTCTAAATTTAAGGTAAGAATTCGTTCACTAATTCAAAATTGTTAAAAATTTTATTTTTTTTCTTTAATACAGTTTTAGTGAAAAATGATTAAAAATTAGAAATTTTTACTAATTTAAATCAACGAATTCTCACTAATTTGAATTTAGAGAGTTACATTTTAAAGATTATACTGTAAAAAATAAATAAAACAAAAAAAAATAAAATATTATTTTAAAAAAATTAGTGAGACTTACTTTTTTGCCGTCCATGCCGGTTGAAGAGCTGGTCACCGGCTGGTCGAGCCTGAAACAAAAAACAAAAACATTTATTAAAAAAAAAAAAAATTCCCCCTCAAAAATATATTATTAACACATATTTATTAAATGATCAAAGAATTATTTTACAAGCAAAATTCATTTGAATTTATTTCATATTTCTAAAATCAATTTAAAAAACAAGTATATAGAAAAAAAAAAATGCAAAAAAAAAAAAAATTGTTTGAGTGTAATCCGATTCCACATCTTCGAATTTCAAAGAATAATCAGTAATGAGATCCAGTTTCCCAAAGGGGCTGTTCAAAAACTGTAAACGCTTTGAGCTAGCCTTTCACAGTATACGCGCGGAGTTGGGATATCGGAACGAACAGAGGGTCCGTTAATTACAGAAATGGGAAGCAACGTCACGGTTGACTTCATTTTAGCACAAGTTCTTTTCTCTCTCTCTCTCTCTCTCTCTCTCTCTCTCTCTCTCTCTCTTTCTCTCTCTTTCTCTATACGAGACCATCTCAATCTAGCCACGATTTGTAGCCCCTCGTCAACGTGCAAAAAAAAAACCAGAGAAAACAATAGTGAATAAAAGTTCGGCTAACTTGATTTTATTGTCGCGAAATCGTTAAAAAAAAAGTCTTTTCGAGGAACAAAGTATTTTTCTATGTGTCCGGAACAATTCCCGCAGGGTTTAAAAAATTTGATTCTTTTTTTTTCGTAAAAAGAACGTACAAATTTTTTTTTAAAGAAAACGTACACTCAAAAAAAATAAAATTTACCAAAAATACAATTTTTTATCAAAACTAGTGTATAATAATTAATTAATATATTAATACGAATTACAACAATTAATTAATATATTAATTAATAATTAATATTAATTTATTAATAGATAAATAAAGTGAATATGTCATTATTGATAGTTTATCATGATTTGAATTTTCCCGCGGTATGAATTTCGAAAAGTTGTAGATGGCGTTTTCATTCGGCGTCCTAGCAGACGACAAACAGGTTTCTCGTCTGCTGATAAAAAGAAAAAAAGACGCTCATATCGAAGCATTTCGTTGCATTCATCGATCCTAATTGTAACATTATTATATTCCGCAGAATAATTGTAATAGAATCACCGATTATAATTTAATATTCATAATAATTGTGTCCCTTTATATGAATTGTTTTATTAATATTTTGAATAAATTGAACGAGAAAATTATTGAATTATCGCATAACCAAGTTTATTAAAAATTAAACAATTAATCAGACAATCATTTGGTTAAATCGAACAAACATAACCTTTAAATTAAAATATTCTTTCTGTTAACTAAATAAATTTTATGCATTTATTGTAATAAACCAAATTTTTATTTCAATTAACTAAACTTTTTTATTGTATCAAACAAAAACGAAGCTAATGTACGCTTCTATATGATAAACCATTTTCAAAGAAATAATTTTTTAAAATGAAAAATTCTATAATTTTTTGCCTAAAAAATATTTTTTTTTTTTATAATTTGTTTATTAATGAAAACAACAAGAAATAGTTTTTAGGCAAAAAATTATAGAATTTTTCTATTTGAAAAATTATTTCTTTAAAAATCGTTTATCTTGAACTTCAGTTTCGTAAACAAAAACTGTTTGGTTAAGTAAAATTAATTTTTTTTCCGAATGCTCATAAACAAAACGTATTGTTTAAAAAAAAACTAAAAACACAAAAACTGACGTCAATTATTTCAAAATTAATGAAAAAAAAATGAATGTAAATTATAATATACTTGAACTAAAATCCAGATCTCATTTCTCAAGTCTCAGCAAGATTTTTCTTTTTTTCAGAAGTAGCAGTGAAGCCATGGAAGCACAATGTGGCACCTGCTGCTTATAAAAAGGTACAAGGAGAGAGTGAGTGAGTGAGTGAGTGAGAGAGAGAGAGAGAGAGAGAGAGAGAGAGAGAGAGAGAGAGAGAGAGAGAGAGAGAGAGAGAGAACAAGACAATCGTGAAAGAGTGAGAAAAGAAAGTATGGAAAAAAACGCTAGAGTAATGATAAGAAAGTAAAAAAAAAAAGAGAAGGAAATGGAGAATTGTAAAAAAGGAAGGAAAAAAAAGAAGCGAGAGAAAGAGACTGGTCTCCAGGTCGTCCTTATTAATTTGCATAGAAATTTTCAGAATCTAGGATTTTTCGTCTTTCAAACTTTCGTCGTCGACCTATAACTATATGATTAGTTCGTTCCAAAAAGTACATTATAAAACTTGGCGAAATTTTAATCATGTAATGCACTTTTTTACCTCCCCCCCCCCGCATATATATATATATACATCCCTCTCGTCTTTCACAGTAAATTATGTATTCATTAATTTTTCTCTCATCTTTGCCGAGTCAATTTCATAAAAAAAAAATTTCTAATTAATTTAAAATATAAAATTAACTAATAAACTATTTCCATATAATCAAAAAAAAGTAGATTTATTATAAACTGATCATTATTTGTAAATTATATTCAAACTTTTTTGACACCACAGCAAATTTGTTCGCTGTTCCTATATTAGCTAACGTAATTTGCTGTGACAGCAAATAATTCGCAAATTTTTTCTATGCTTGTATACAATTATATATATATATATATATATGTATTATATTATATTAGAATTATAATATATTTATACCTATATACTAGGGGGGCCCCGCCCTCCTGTTTTAATCATTTTTTTTAATTTTCCATTGATCTTATTTTTACAAATGAACCACCTATTTCAAAGAATTATTATTACAAATTCATTGAAATCTGAATAAATATTATAAAAAATTAAAATTATTCAATTTGAATTAATAAATTAATTAAATTAATAATAAATAAATAATTAAATAAATTAAAATCGACATTAAGAAATTATTTTTAAAAATAATTTCAATGAAATTGCCTAAAAACCAATAAATTTTTAAAAAGTCTTGAAACGAACATAACCTTTAAATACAAGTCATTTTTGGCGGGAACTCCACCTCTACTTAACGGCTATATTGAAAGTCTTAAAATTTACATAACCTTAAAATTTATGTCATTTTTGGCGGGAAATACGGAGAGAGATGAGGAAAGGGGGAAGGACTTACTGCTTTATTCAGAGTGTTAAAACAAACATAACCTCAAAATTTAGGTCAATTTTTGGCGGAGGAGGGGAAATTAGAGGAGGGAGGGGGAACTTGCGGCTATATTCAGAGCCTTGAAACGAACATAACCTCAAAATTTAGGCCATTTTGGAGGAGGAGGGGAGGGGAGTTGCGGCTATATTCAGAGCCTTAAAACGAACATAACCTCAAATTTAGGTCATTTCTGGCGGGGGAGGGGAGGGGACTTGCGGCTATATTCAGAGTCTAGAAACGAACATAACCTCAAAATTTAGGAAGAGGGACTTCCACCCTCTTAGGTCAAAATTTCTGAAACAGCGGCAGCGACGGTTGCGGCGAAATCTTTTTATAATATAGAAAGATATATATATATACCAGCGGCTTAGGAGAAATTACTGATGCAGTTTCAATTAATTTCTATTAAACTGATTACATTTTCTTTCAACGGTCACTTTTCCCCGAACCAAAAGCCTTATAATTGAGTCTCTTGAGCTCTCTTATAAAAGAGAAATCTTTTCAAAATTCTTCATTGTCTGCGAAACGCGATGGTATTCAAATTGCAAGAAAAATGACGAAGCTTTCAGCTTCCAGTGAATTAAGACTTCTCTATATATATATTTTATCGCCGTGCGCTTAAATTTCCATTAGCCATTGCACTTTTTTTTTATACAAAATTTTCTTTAAAATAATTTATTATAACACAAATTATAATATCTTTCTAAAATAGATAATAAAAATAATATTAATAATAAAATATTTTAATATTAATAATAATAATATTACATGCATAAAGGAAAATTTTTGCTGTTGTAGCGAATTATTTACTGTCACAGCAAATTACGTTAGCCAATATAGGGACAGCGAAAAAATTTGCTGTGGGGTCAAAAAAGTTTGCTGTGACAGTAAATTTTCAAAAAGTAAGTCTGAGATTGTTTATCACAGCAAACATTTTCGTTGTTACAGCCAAAAAAATTTAGCTGTGGTTACTAATTTTCATAGGTCCGATAGCAAACATTAGTTAGCATCTGTATTTTTCATATAAAACAGATATTGTCAAAAAATAATTTTAAAAAATCAATGCGTAATAAAATTAGAATGAAAAAAAATTATTTAACGTATTGTTTCGATTTTATATATATATATATATATATATATATTATTAAAATTAATTTTCCATCAAGAGTAAAGTCACGAATGAATTTTAATTAAAGCACATACGCGTATAGATATTTTTCATGTCACTTTGGCTGACCAAAGCACGACCTTTATCACTCGACTGAACATCAAAGACTATATATACATACAAACGATATTAATAAATTCAATTTCAATTGAAGGTTTTTAGTATATATATAAATATTTACAATTTGTATTAAAAAAAAAAATTCTTTGCATTAATTTTAAATTTAATTAAATTAAATAATAAATAATGCTGTTTAAATTTAATTACAAATACATTTGAAGTTAATTTTTTATATATATGCAAATAATAAAAAATAAATAATAAAATAAAAATTTTTACAAAAATTAAAAATGTTTATCTGCTTTTTTTGGATTTTAAACTGTATTCTTTTTTTTTTTGTATTTTTGTATACAAAAAGTAGGTATATATAGTTTAATACGAACATTTAGTAGAAAAAATAGAAATCCTGTTTGTATTGTTTATATGATTTTCGAATATCGGAACATGTGTTTTTTTTTTTTTTTGTTTTTTTAAAGTACGTAAACAAAATGAAATAATAGTTTGTGAGGGAAATTCACATGGAAATTTTATGCGAATTACAAAATTTGTAAAATGATTCTCATGTTTATACGCGCGGGTTTATTTAATTTCTCCTGTCACTAGAAAAAAAAATAAACAAAGAATTTTATAGAAATCTTCATTTTATTTTTATTTATTTTTCATTTATATATATATATATATATATATATATATATATATATATATATATATATATATATATATATATATATATATATATATTATAATTATATTAATTAAATTTTTATTTATTTTAAAAATAAAAAATCTTTTAAAAATATAACTTTTTAAAATATTTATTAAAAAATCTTTATTTCAAAAATATCATAACCAATTATAATATAGAACATTTAAAAAAAAAAGTATCGATTCAATTTATTTCAGAGCTGTTACTATATAAATTATTACCAAGTTATTAACATTTCAAAAATCAAATCATTACTTTTGAAAAAATTTTTTGAATCAACATAAAATATTTGAAATCTGCATTTGTAGAAATATATATATATAAATCTCTCGATTCATCTCTTCATCATTTGTAATAACATAACTAAATTCCATTTGAAACGATTCCCAATGCGCGCGTTTTGCTATATATGTACCTCGCGCTCGAGACGAAACATTCCTCGCAAACATTGATCTAGCGTGGACCATTACTCTCGACGGTAATTGAAATCGAAATACCGAGCGCGTTCGTATACCATATGCAGAGGTATTTTTGTGCAAAAATTTTGCCCGGAAGCCAATGAGAAAGCATTCTGTTATGCCTGTTACACCATCTGGAAAACTGAATTTTCTTTTTCACAAATATCAGTTCCAAGTAATCAAACATATATATATATATATATATATATATATATATATCTTGTGTGTTATATATACCAAACAATTTTTAATAATCCAAAAACTATTTCCACATCGATTTCATTTCTTTCTTTCTTTTTTAGATTTCGTTATAATACTGTATATTAAAATAGAAATTTTAATAAAGAGGCGTTAAAACAGACAATTGGCTAAAGTCACGTCTTTACACGACGTGAAATAAGATTCAAACATAACCTCAAAATTCAAGGATTTTTTCATCCTATATTAGTTATTAAGTAATAATTATTTAATACGCCAACCCCCTGTTTTTTTTTATTGTTTTTGTAGATGGCCTTATTGCACCTATTTTCAGTTTATGTTTGGCCAATTTCTGTAATTTAAAACTATTATTAATATTTGATTATTTATGTTTTTAAATGTTAATTATGATTTTTGTTAGTAATAATTTTTATTATTTTTAATTTTTAAAACAAAATTTATCTAATTTTTTAAATTATCCTAACAAAATTTGACCTACATTTGAGATTATGTTCGTTTTTTTTTTGGTCATTTTCCTCCAAAGTTTGACCTAAATTTTAAGGTTATGTTTGTTTTTCCGTCGTTTTCCGTCAAATTTTGAGGTTATGTTTGTTTTTGGTCATTTTCCGCCAAAATAACATAACCTCAAAATTTAGGTAAACTATTATATTCAGAGTCTTGAAACGAACATAATCTCTAAATTCAGGTCATTTTTGGGGGCAAATCCACCCCCCTCCCTGCTTCCCTTAACGATGAAAGGGGGAATTGCAGCTATATTCAGAGTCTTGAAACGAACATAACCTTTAAATTCAGGTAATTTTTGGCGGGAAATCCACCTCCATTTGAGGCTATATTCAGAGTCTTGAAACGAACATAACCTCAAAATTTAAGTCATTTTTGGCAGGAAGTCTGGAGAGAGAGAGAGAGGAGGGGGGAGAACTTGCGGCTATATTCACAATCTTGAAACAGCGGCGGAGGCGATATCTTTTTGCAATATAGGTAGATTTTACGTTTTACGTAGTATTCTATACTAATTTATAGTAAACAACTTTTTACTTTTCAAATTAGTAGTACACTGAAAAAAATTTATTTTATTTAAATTATTGCTCTCTAAATCTGAATTAGTAAAAATGTTTACTAATTTAAATTAGTAACTCAGTTT